GCTCCTGCTAGAGAGAAAGGTGGGACTGAAATTAGAGAGACAGACTGTTGATCAGGCTTCTTGGGGAAAACAGAGGAAAGGTGGCCAGTATACCAGACCTGCTGAGGCAAAGGAAGGCGGGCTGACCTGAGACTTGGTAGACTGTCTTTAGTCCAAACAAGCAGAACAGACAGAGGAGTAGTTTGCCTAGATAGTGTGATTAGATCACACCTACTCAGTCTGAGGGTGCGCCTATGCAGAGTACAGTACACCAGGCTTCTGTGCTGGACAAGATGGAAACAGCATATTTCTGGCATTGTAAGAATTGTAAGAAGGGGACGACAGAGGATGAGATGGTTGGAGAGTGTCATCGAAGCGACCAACATGAATTTGACCCAACTCCAGGGGGCAGTGGAAGACAGGAGGGCCTGGCGTGCTCTGGTCTGTGGGGTCACGAAGAGTCGGACATGACTAAACAACAAGAAATATAGGAGAGCCAGTATAGTGTAGTGTGTTGTTTGTCTGATTGAGACTCAGGAGATCTGGGAACAAAACCTAATTCATTCATGGACATTCACTGGGGTGATGGTGGTGGCATGGGTAAAATCACCTTAAATGCCTTACATACCTCAGGAACTCCACTAGTATTGCCATAAGTCAGAACTGACTTGAAAGCACATAACGAAAGTACTATCTATCCACCTATCTCTCTTTTGATTTATTTTTGGAGTTCTGACCATGCTCCTGATCCTCTGCTGATGGGAGAAGCTATATTTACTTCTTGCATTATATTTATACCATGAATTAAAAAGCATATTCAGGGGCATGTTTTGCACTGCTAGTTACCACTCATTCTTCAAATACTCTTCAGTGTGTATTAAAACCTAGTCTCATGGTTGAGGTTAGAATAGCTCTGGCTAACCTTTGTGTATCTGTCCCAGCTCTCTGTTGCAGCACATAGAGGTGGCACTTGGTTGGCATAGAACCTCACAGTCTGCTCTGCTTATGTTGTCTTCTGCTTATGTTTGTACATATGCATCAGATAGATAGATAGATAGATAGATAGATAGATAGATAGATAGATAGATAGAGAGAGAGAGAGAGAGAGAGAGAGAGAGAGAGAGAGAGAGAGAGGAGTTATAGGTCTTCAGGTAATGAACAGATAGCTCCAGAAAGTGTAGATCAGAGAAAAAGAGAATTATTAATAATTTAATTTGGAATATTATAAAGGGATTAAAGAAATTTTATCTGAGGTAATGTGAATAGGAATGTAACTGTCCTCTGTGAAATTTAAGTGAATCCTAATGATTAATTCTAGATCTCTGTATTAGCATAGGGGAAAATGTAGATCTATGACTTGAGTCCTTTATATGCTTAGCAATGCCTCTGCATTTATGTCTCAGATTTGTAGTATTTCCACCTTTGACACAAGGGTTACAGAATGCAAACTTGAACAGATATGTATAAAAAGAAGACTTTAATCAGTTTCACTGTTATTCCTCACAGGACCTAATAACTCAAAAAATTCTAACAGCCTATTTTCCCTTTTCTGCACCTCTTAAATATACATAGACTCTTTCATGATTTCAATATAACAATCTTCTTATTTTTGGTTAATTTTCAAAGCCTTGCTCTTCAACTCAGCCTCCTTTTAACTTGCCTTCTTCATATGGCGTTGAAACCTCCTCAGGAAACACCACTGGAATCTACATTACAATGAAGCCCACCATATAAAACAGCCTTTGTATGGAGGCTTCCTGAAAACATGGCAGCTGCTCCTAAAGGTAAGGTACATGTTCACATGCAATGACTTACAACAGGCCATCATGGTTCTTTTTGCTCTGGTGAACAGGTATCACCAACATGTCTTGGCAACAGCAAGGGGACAAGCCACATAGTGGCAGCTTGACCATATAAGCCAATACATACAACTGTATATACAGATCACTACCTGGAGGTCCCAGAACCTTGGTTTTGTTAATTCTTTAACCCCAAGGACATGGAATGCATCATTTAATAGCAGTCTTTCTGCTGGTGAGGTCCTATACAGGAGGAAGACTGTCTTACATCAACTAAAACAAGGTCTCTGTTTTCTGAATGCTAAAAGAACTTCCTTTTAATTTAAAATGCACACACACACACATCCAACTTGTCCTGGTCCCAGATACTGTCCAACTACTTTTAGTGAGCAGCTGAGAAGCATGGAGGTCTTCACCATCCTGTGGGCCTTCTGTTGATTGTTTTAAAAAACAAAAAACAGATGAGGATATATTAAGCATATTTTTAAAAACTGGACTGCAAACAAAAATAGACTTTTCTTTATCTTTTGTGGCATGCCACCCTTTTATCTTCCTTACATCAAAACTTTTTTTAAATTTTTTATTGAACTTTACATCGTGGGATGCAACAAGGAACACAGAGTCATCTTCAATCTAAAGTAAAAACAAAGCTTTTAAGGTGCAATCCAATACACAGAGAGGACATGGGCTGGATTGCCCTCTAACAAGGTAAACTTCTCAAAGTTTCAACTCATTTTTAGCAACGAGTTTTTAGCAACATACCACAGGATGAGGTAAAGAGCAGGAGTATTGTATAAAATAAAATTGCTATATTGTTGTCTGTTTTGTTTGGCTATTAAAAGCAGAAGTCCCTATTTATCTCCTCATCTCTTAGAGATGGTAAAAATTAAAATCTCCTGTATTCTTGATGCAGTGACTATATACATTATTTTGGTGCTTAATGTACATATTCATCCACATAATGCAGAAGGAAAAATACTGAATGATGTGTATTAATCGCACAAGCTTTCCTACCATACATAATGAACTCCACTTTTCTTATGTCACTTTGCACAAGCTTTCCTACCATACATAATAATGAACTCCACTTTTCTTATGTCACTTCCAGCAAGGACATAAACAACAGGTGTCTAACTTCTTAGCTGTTTTCTCACTTATCTTCAATAACAATTAGAGATTGTTACTCGCACAAGCTTTCCTACCATACATAATGAACTCCACTTTTCTTATGTCACTTCCAGCAAGGACATTAACAACGGGTGTCTACCTTGTCATAACTTCTTAGCTGTTTTCTCACTTACTGTATCTTCAATAACAATTAGAGATTGTTACTCCACAAATTCTTCTAACTCTCTATAGAAATGCTATCTTCTATAAGTTATATCGCTTTAATCATAACATTTGATTTATTGATTTGATTTGGTTTGATTTCTATCCCACTTTTCTATAGTGGACAAATTGACAAATCTGACATCCCACTATCATGTAGTAGAAACATTTTTCTTTGGTTCAATGTAGCTTAATACTAATTTTTAAATATAGATCATATTTCAAAATTATGTAGCTTTCTTATATGTTACTTTGTTCTAGAATGCTCATTTAACAAAGTTCTAATGGGAAGGATCTAACACCAGAAAGGTTTCATTTTGTTTAATCCAGCCTTTATTTCAGAACCAGCAGCTATAGTGGCAGGCTGCTAATGTCTACAACAGAATTACGGTATTTTTAAACTAACTACAGAAATTCATAAACAATCCAGCCTAGGGCTTCTTCAGTGTGTGTGTGGGAAAAAAAAATCTTCCAGGATGTTATAATGTTTCTCATGTCCTGAAGGAAGTAACACCTTTAGTACAGGCAAAAAGTGTCACCTTTAGTAACACCTTTAGTACAGTCTGTTTTTGGCTGTCACTCTAAGTAGTCTCATGGTATCCTCTAGAGATATGCACCCAGAAATGCCATATAAACATATATAAGACAAACAAAACATTTCTGCTCAGGACAAGACAATTCACTCTGAAATGTTATTCTTAAATGTGTTAATTATCTTTCCTGTTGTGGTTTTATTCTTTCTAAACAGCAGCTTTAAAAACCAAGGCAAAAATTAAGATCTTTACCTCAACTCCCAAACAAACTGCACCAGAGCATAGAGTGCTACTCCTGTCCTCCGAAGATGCCGGCCACAGAGATTGGCGAAACATTACAAAGAACAACCTTCAGAACATGGCCAAAGAGCCCGAAAAACCCACAACCATTAGATCCCACCCGTGAAAGCCTTCATGAATATGTCTTTAACTTTGTTTTTTCCTAAGCAAATGTAACGAATACTGCAAGCTGGGACTTCTGCTCTGGTGGAACTGTAAGGGATATCAACATGTGCTCTTTAGCTATGTAACCAAAGTATAAATTACACATCTCATGTATCTGAGGAAGTGGAATGTAATCCATGAAAACTAAAATTGAAATAGATCTATTAGTTTTTAAAAGGCACAATCATTTTGTTTCATTTTACTACTGTACCTATAAACCCTTCTCTGTACTTATGAGTTCTGTAGGAAAGGACACAACTTTTAGTACAAAAGCACTGTACAGTACTGCTGTGTAGCATCTTAAAAATGTTTGTTTCATTCTGTTTCCCATTAGCTTTTGTAGCGTCCCCAGAAGAAGGAGATAGGAAACTATTTTTGAATACAGTATACGATGCTCAGAAAACTCTGGAAAGGTCGCCGTAACTCAGAATTGACTTAACAGCATACAGTATTATGATGATGATGCAGCTCTCTTCATCCTTCTACAAAAGCTCACATCTAATAATACTTCTGTTTTTAAGAAGCTGCAAAACTGTCGGTTTGGCAGCAGCGCCGCCCGAAACTTCAAAAGAAAATGTAATACAGTACTAGTCTCGGTGACGCTGAGGCAATTCCACGAGGAATTTACAAGAGAGAAGAGAGCAGCTTGTGCGGCTGTGACTCAGTCAACTCGATTTGTCTCTTAGGATCTTAACGAGACAAGGAATGTGAGAATTGTCGCGTCCCTGTCGGTCAAGCGATCGCTCCCCGGGAGACCCGAACTTCAGGCTTCTCTTTACGGCCAGCCCGAAAAAGCGGGCAAACTAAGGAAGTATTACCACCTACAGTCTGCACCAATCACACTCCGCGGTTCCTAATACTCCAGCCGTTCTCGCTTGTTAGCTGTTACCGTAAAGCAAAGCAACACGGCCAATTAGTTACGTCCACGACCGCTCCCCACTCCGTTTGCGACATTTAAGATGGCTGCCCCCACAGTAGTAGCTTGTGGTTTCCGTGCAAGGGAGGCTGTTGGTGGACCTAATGCTTAAAATGGGCAGGTTGCAGCTCCCTGGTTCAAGGGTTTTTATAAAGTTGTGGTATTAATAAGTAATTGTCTTTTTTTTAAAAAAAGCACCGGTTTTGTTCAGCTACATTTGAGGCAGAAAGAAGGCGGCACTAGGGGAGAGAACTGCAAAGTGTGAAGCGTGTTTCGATGGGTGTGGGGAGCCTCATGAGATAAGAGTAGCACAGAAGCAGGAGGCTGGGCAGACCCGACTGGGGTTTTAATACCCTCAAAATCTCGGCTGGAGGGGATTGAGAAGCTGAAGGAACCGTAGTGGCTCCTGCTTGCGTTTCCTAGGAGGCGAAGTCGGGGGAGCAGGGGCTTTGTTCCCTGGGCTTCTTCCAAGCCTGAAGATGATGCGACTTGGGTTGCGGCCGCTGTTTCCTGGAAGCTGCTCCCAGACTCTCTTGAGGCAGCGGCGGTGCCTCTTTTCCGGCTCCCCGTCGTCTGCTTCTCACTGGAGCAAAGTGGTCTCTGAGGCAGAGAAGATTGTGGGCTACCCCACCTCCTTCATGAGTCTCCGCTGCCTCTTGAGTGACGAGCTGAGCAATATCGCCATGCAGGTGCGCAAACTGGTGGGGACCAACCATCCGTTGCTCAACACAGCCAGGTAAGCATCCATGCCCTCCTCCTCCCCTCCCAAAAGCACCGTGCAAGGCTTCCACACTTGACTGCCACTTTTCTTGTAAACGTTGCCTTTCAAGGGAATAAATCTGTGTCCTCCTATTTGTCCCACCTCTAACCATCCATATTTATTTAAATATTACATGGCTTTTGACTTCTCATAAGGAGAATGGAGTACAGTGGTGCCTCGCTTAGCGAGTGCACCGTATAGCGATGTTTCCGTATAGCGATCCCTTTTTTGGGACCGCTATACGGAAACATACCCGATCTTCGCAATGGGGAAAACCCGCATTGCGAAGATCGG